TTAAAAATTTTTATGCTATGACTTATATATGATTCATCTTTGGCTTAGGCTATATTTCTTGCATGAATTTTATTTTTGAATATAATTACAAAACAGTCTAAGCATGGGACATTTTCAAACAGTTTAAAAATTGGGATGGTCCCACCTAATTCAGGACAGATAAGTTTAAGAAATGGGATAAGCTCCTATCCTACAAATATTATTAAAATAAAAAAAAGAAAAATAATCATAATATTGAGATAGTGTTCCCAATCAAGGATCATTGATAGAAGAGGAGCTAGGGACTTTTCCCCATGCCAGAGAAAACAGACCTATAGTAGCTCCTATCTATATAAATTAGTATTATTTTTACTAACAAAACATAAAATCTTTAAAACTACTTTTTATTAATGTAGAAAACATTCTATATACTGTATTTTTTGTTTTTTTTTTTTTTGAATAAATGAAATAAGGCAAAGGATTCTCTCTACTCCAGGCCTCATACTAGCAGGTAAACAGTACTGAATGAATTACTATTAATAATTGTAACTAAAGAATCTTCAAGTAATACATTTCTTAATCATTTAACATGTTCTTTAAGTCAATAAAATAAGAATTTTCACTAACTATAGTCATATTTATTTATTAGTTGGTTATCATCATCAATACACAAGTCCGAAAGTAAACACAATAAACAGATTCTACTGTATTTACAATATAATGAAAAAACTTATGCTTGGTGATTAAGAAATTAATTTTTCTTTATTATCTATTTTTAAAAAATGTTTAATTTTTTGAAATCAATAAATTTTGGAAAATTAAAGTAAAATTTAAATAAAAATTTAAGTTTATTTACTTTCCAGTAAAGAAATATCTTTATTCAAATGTCAATTAAAAAAAATTTTTTTTATTAATAGCACTGGCATAAAATGTTAGTAATGATTCATAAACTGTGCAATGCATTTATTTCAACAAGCGTATACACATAATTCAAAAATTTCATGTAATCATGAGTTACTAAAATTTAAATTTAAAAAAAGTTTTAAAAAGAAATTACTTTTGCAATATTAAAAATTAATTTACCAAAATTATTTTATATTATACATACCTCTTTCCTATTAATTAATTTTCTATTACTTAAAATAATGCAGGGCAAATTAATAACTGTGTTTTCATTAAGGAATAATTGATGGTAAGATATTCATTTTTAAATTATTATGTTTGTAGTTATGTATATCTAACTAATATCAATCAAAAAATTACTATAGATTGCAACTAGGGTTGCCACCTAGTCGGCATTGGGCTGGCTTGAATAGCAATTTTAAATCAAGGACTACAGTTGGCAAAAATATTTAAGTGTCGGCAAAACAGTTTAAAATATAATCTTCACAGATGAAGAATCTTTCTCGGCATGGTTTCTTCTTAAAAGAGCTCAAACACCCAATATAAGTCCATGTTTGGGGATACTTTTGTGAATGTGGTTTTGGGACACTCTTTACTGAGAACCTGAACATTTATAAATATTTCACATTTTTTATTCTAAATTATTTGCTGAGGTCTGCTGAGAAGTTTTTGACAATATGAGCCAGTGGTTGTTACAAGAGGACAACAACTCAAAACATTAGAGACATCCATGCCTGCAATTCAAGAAGGAAAATGACATTGCAACAATGAATTGGCCAGCATAGTCATCAGATGACACCCCCAATGAAAAATGTGTGGTCATATATAAAGCATAAGCTTCAAAATAAGCCTGCATACAATCTTACAATATGATGCAATATTTGCAATATTACATTATTATAATACAGTACAATATTTACTGAATCCTGTTCATAAGGATTACAGCTTACAAATAGGATTTGACAAATATGGCACTCTACCATGATAATATGCAAGAAATTTGGTAGAAAGCATGGACAAAAGATGCCAGGCAATAATCTACAATGGAGGTGATTGAACTTACTATGTATTTTTGCACAATAGTTTAAATGATCTACTTTAAAATATAAGAAATAGTTTTACAATAATTTATTTTTTAGATGCTGCCATATACACTTCTATGGAACAAACTGTATATAATTGATTTTAGGAAATTTTATGTATGTAAAAAAAATAATGAAAATCTGATATATTGAATAAACTGTGAATAATACAACCAAATACTTTTAATTTTGAATATCAAGGGAATCCAAAAAAATTTTGAATTATCAAACATTTAGATTATTTGTTTTTGAAAATTAAACTAGTTTTCTGCAAGTTTCTAATATTTATCAATGTTCCATATTCTTTTTACTTTCTTTTTTATTTTATCTTTATCTTGAAAAGATGAAATGATTAAACTTTTATATGACTAAAACCATGAAACATATGGTAATTTCATTCCATCCCAGGAGTTTACAGAACACATGCAATTTAGGGAGTTCTCAAAATAAAATCAGTTGAATACATGCTATCAACTTTTTCTACGTTTGATTTTCAAAACATGATGTACTGGCTTTGAATTAACCAAATTTATACTAAAAGATTAAAATAGTTTTTAAAAAGTTAAAATTTTACAGTTAAAAATTCAAATTTCAAGGAGAATAATAGCATGTCCAATTCATCTAATAATTCAAATTAATCAAGTTTGAATTAATCAGATTCAACTGTATATACATTATTATATGAAATCATAACAAAAATAGCAAACAGAATTTCAGAAATTATTATGACATTTTGTCAGTTTGTAATTTCTTTATTCATAATGCAATCATTCCAATTCATAATCCTAACAATGTACTGTTATATTTCATTGAAATAAAAAATAGTTAGAAATAAAAGGAAACATGAGGAAATTCTAAGTACAATATAATCTATTTAAATGTAACATTTAATGTTTAACATTTTGACACTTGAATATACTGATGTTAAATTATGGCATTAAGCAACATAAGTAAATAAGACTAAAGTTAGTGGAAATTATGATTTCAATTGATTTTTAAGTTAAAAGTGAGGTCAAACAAAATATGTATAACTTGAAGGTCTATTAATAATAATTAGTATGGTGTTGATGGATTGTATTCTACTTGATTTATACTGGTGCTTAGTGCTATGCCAGACTAAGGTCAGGGCTTACTTTTATATGACTGAAACTATAGAAAAATTACAGTAAAACCTTGATTTAACAGACTTCAGATTTTACAGACAAAATTTCTGATCCTATATCATATGTGAAAATTAACATAATCTTAAAATGTTTGTGTGTAACTAAATTAACAGGTTTTTTTTTTCAAATCAAAGAGTCATTATTCATAAAGTGTATTTTTCAAAAAATGATTATTTTGATTTTGACTGGATACTTGTTTATTACAGTGAGTACATAAGCAATACATACATATAGAAAACTTTTATGTGAAATTAAACTTCTGATACATATATAATTTTAATTATACAAAATGTATTTAAAGTAAATACAGATAAAAAAAAATTGACAAATTAATTAGTTAACACACACACACACAATTTGGGAAACCTAATTAAAGCCTAAAGTCCATTATTATATAATGGACTTTAGGCTTTAATTCAGGTGATGGGGTGTCTGTTAATCTGTTAAATTGAGGTTTTACTGTATTCTTTGATTATGCACTGTGTGTATATCTGTATTTAAGAATTTCCTAACCATGTAATGTGTTTAGGATGACTGCTTTCTGCAGTATCATATATGTGCTGTTTTAAGACCTAATTTTTTTAAACTTTGTATAGTGTATATAGTATGACACCTGTTCAGTAAAGGACAAAAGCACAATAAATATTATATTCCATTTTCTACAGATATTTTATTTTGTAGGAGAGTTCTGGCTATTTACTAACTTTTAGTGTATATGGAATCCCAAAATGCATCCAACCAAGTTTCCAGATGTAATCCATCTATCTAGTTCTTGTCCTTCCACATGATTGAGTCCATTGGGATAGGAAAAAAGGACTCTCTTTACAAGTCTTTCTTGTCGTCTTCTGCTTGCATGTCCAAGGTAACATACCCTGTGTTTCTTTATGCAGCGAAAATGTAGCGAAATGACGTCAGAGCAGTGTTGGCCAATTAGAAACCAGTTTCAGTGTGTTTGCTGTAAAGCGCTTCTCGAGCGCTGCATAAAGAAACGCGAGGATAATTGAGATCTCTCAATGCAAAGAAGAAAAATTATAAATTCTTGTTTTTTTGCATTGAGAATTTGTAACATTAAGTAAAAATATAAAATTTGAAATAAGAACTTAAATCAATCGAATCATTTCAGACTTTTGTTATCTGAAATTTAAAGTATAGTTTATTTGAATTTAAAATGATAATTTCAATTTCAAAAAATGTATTCAAAATTATGTTTTCTGGTTCCAAAGATCCAAATATTTTTGGAGTATATCATTTATCTCAATAAAACAACATCAGGAATGATTTTCTTAAGTTTTTAATTTTTTTAATATAAACCTTCCCAAAAGATTGCTTGAGATAATACATATGTATTGCAGGTGTTCTGTCATATCATCAGCATTAATATATATAGTATGTTGAATAGCAAAAATACTAATTTGAATATTTGGTTATACATATTTGTCAGTCAGAAATCAAATTAATTTTCATTGAAAAAAATTTAAAACTTTTGTAATTAGAATAAGTTGGATAATTCTGGAATTTAACAAGATTATCAAGATTATGTAATTCAAAAATTAAACACATTAATATATTAAAGCTATAATTATTAAATTTAATGGTCATACAATCATTCTCACATTTTGATTTCTTTAAAACTTATCTTGAATAAAATGAAATACTGTTTAAATTTTTACATAAATATTCATTTACATATAAAATTTCATATTTATATCTAATATCTAATTTAAAGCTATACATGAAAATTATGTATTTAAAATCCAAACATTATTAAAATCCATAAACTGAATTTAGGACCATACTTAATGCAAAATTAATATACAAATATACACATCTGGCATTAACAATTAGGAAAAAGTAAGGTTTTATCATTGCTTACGATGCTGAGATTTTCCATTTTCAGAACTTCCATTGATAATTCCATTTCTTGTGTTATGATTATGAGAATTGTTTAAAATTTTAACACCATTAATGTCAACCACCCTATAAAAAAATAAATGAATAAATATGTGATGATGATAAAAAAAATCAATGAAAATAAAATATTAATATTTTATAATCTCTTTACATATGAGAAAAAATATAAATATGAAAAATTTTTAAAAATGTGAGTATATTAATCACTATGAAAATATTTTTACAAATTATTTAATGTTTATATATCTTTTATTTGTAAATAGTTAAAAATATATATAAAAATGCATATTAATGTTAAAAAATTTGACTTTTAGAACTTTGGAAAATGTTTTTTCCTAGTTATTAGAAATAAACATTATTGTAGAACTATAATAAACTAAAACAATTAACTTGATAAAGATATGTGAGATCCGGAATTTTTAAGGGATATTTCAACTAATTTTTGCAAAATTTTAACTTAATGTCTTAATGCGAACTTTAAATCAACATTGCCAGAAAAGGGATAGAATGTCATCCTTATCATCAACAACTGATAAAAGTTTATAATACTCCTTCAAGAATGTCAACATTCAGCCGTCCAAACATCGTCAATCTAACATTGCAGTTATCAAAAAAAATTACAGTTGATGTCCAAGTTCACTATTTTCTCATTGTCCCAGGAGCACCTCTAACCCAAACCTGCAAAATCAACTTTTGTCTACGACAACACTATCACATGACCATTTTCCCAGGCCGATCCGAACATAACACAGGTACCCCTCTCCGGGCAGTCTCTCACTGAACGTTTAAACTTGTGCACAGTCATATTGTGACTAGGGATTATCCTAGTAGCTGGGCGGAAATTATTAATTGGTGTAAAATTGTTAAAGAAAGAATTCCAATGCAAACTTCAGAAATTATAGGAAAGAGGTATGATATCACAATCAGTGTAAACTCTCTCTTGGCCCCTCTAAACTGTATGCAAAAGTTAGGAATCTTGTTAATGTACGAGATAGTTTAGAAAGGTTATGTCTGAATTTTTTTTATGTAATTAACTGATTGTTATTCATTAAATTCTTTTGATTTTTCTTATTAATGGTGTCTGCTGTTCGTATATTGCATACGCCTTACCAACAACCTCTTTCACCCTCTTCCACTTGACCTGACAAACTGATCCCAAGACCGCGGGATCAGAAACGGAAACTCGCCATCCACTGGCACAGTGAGCAGTTTTTACCAAACTGTTGCCAGCAAAAGGTTAAGACTTCGGCCTTACTCCCGGTTACTCGCAGATATGTATTACACAGTTGTTTTTCTCATCTGCCTTATATATAATTTTTATTTGAATAAAATAGATATATTTACCATAATAAAAAAAAATAATAATAATACAAATATTCAAAATAAGAAATATAAGAATGTGAATAAAGTTCATAACTTAAAATAAATACACATATTTGTATTTAAAATACAAAATTTTCTAAACAACAGAATAAATCAAGAAATAAAGATATTTTAGTTTCATTATTTAAAAACTTTCTAAAATAAGTATTTTCCTATGTAATCACTGTTTTCAAATGTAATTGATCTTTCTTTGATCAACTTTTGCATGCTCAGAATAAGAATTAATGCATTGAACAAATCTGTATCTTGTTTCTTTTGGTCCAGTGCATTCTAAATCTTATAGTGTTAAATGGACTAATCATTTACGAAAATTTTAGATACTAATTAAAATAATTTTTTGTGATGTTTCTAGGGATTTTTAGATTCAAACCCCACTCCCGTGACACCAATTTGTGAGCCGCCGGGGAGGTTGGGACGTCCTCTCCTTCCAGCCACAGGTCGGTGACCTACTTTCTTGTCAGGGATGGCGTTTCATTCAGTTACGCGTTACACGAGTGGAGGAGAATCAGAGGGGTCGACGATAAGACATTGGCTAAGCCGAGTAACGACACCATTTAAAAAACAAAACAAGAGTTTATTCAGCTAACTAACTAAATAAAATTCACACAAAACTAATTCGACTTCGCGGATGAGAGAGAGAGTTCACAATAATATATCATACCTCTGAGATAATATCGGATGGATACTTCTGCTTTAATTTCTGAAAGGTGGTGCGAGGTGGGGCACAAGGTCTTCCAATTAAGGGTGTACAGTAGGTATGAGGGGAAGATATGGCCCATCTTCGTCGTTGTCCATTTGATTGGCGACTCCCCCGAGAGGGGAAGGAGGATGGCTTTTATACATTTTGTGGTGGGAAAATTCGTCAGGTGACCAATTGTTTTAGCAAGTGTGGGGTTAAAGTTGGTGTTAGAATGACAACAATATGACGAATTTCGCCGATAATTGTAAACTATACACGGTTTGATCGTGAGAATGTTTATAGTTAAATAGAAAGAGTTATAAATTTCTCATATGCTTTATATTACAGTTCTGTAGGGTCAAATTCCTTGTTAAAGGAATTTTTTTATTTAAATTTATTAAAAATTTAAAGGATTACTTTCTTTTGTGAAATTATAAGAACTTTGAATTTCACATTTTCATATTAATCCAAACCGTATTATTCAAACATTGTTCTGCAAATCTCCACTGACATTAATATCAATATATAAAAAATCATATTAGAAAAACTTAATATTTGGTTATCATTTAGCCAAATATTAAGTTTTTCTAATATGTTACATATCAAAAGAATGAAAGAAGTACAAACTATTTTGAGTAAATCTTAAATATAAATATTTAAGTATTTGATGATTAGTCATTTATAATCTTGGAAAAAGAGTCATCATCTTTATGTTTTCTATTTCCTAATTTCACCAATTTTTAATATAAAAATTATTTTACTTTTATAGAATTAACACTGTTTATAAATTTTAATTAGCAATTTGGTTAAAAAATTAACATCAAAATATCAATAAAAACTAACTTTAAATCAATAAAATAATAGAAATAATAAAATACACTCTTTGACAAAATATTGATGCACCCCAAAAAATAATCCAATTGCAATGAAATGTCATGTTAAAATATCTTGACCAAATATGCAGATTATAAAAAATTAAAACACAATGAATGAATAGTCTAAGGTACAGTGCATTGGAAGTGCTGTGCCCATCATCATGATGGTGTACAAAAAGAATAATTATTTCTTTCAAGGACTGAACTTCCAGTGGAATTTGATTGTGCTAACCATTGTTGATTGTAAACAATGCTTTGCCATCGAATTCATGCCCACTACAGCCATAAGACAGAGTTTAAAAGAAGACATGTCATTAGAGTAAAAGAGGGTGGTTGGACAAATTGACATATTGCCCAACATTTGGGTCAGACTGATGCAGCAATTAGACAATGCTGGCATGAATGGCAAAGTCCAGAGAAAAGCAGGCAATGGATAGCCTAGAGTTATGATAGAAAGGAAAGACGGCAATTATTCAAGCAGCTATAATAGCACCAGAGTCATCACTATCATCTAACATGTGACCAATGCTGAAGTGATCACCAGGACCATTGCTAGAGAACTATACAAGTGGAATCTATGCTCATGATGCCCATTACACCACTTGACACTGATCCATAGACAAAATAAAATAAACAAACACCTTTCTCTATTCCAGCACAACGTTTAATACGTTAATAATGTTTTCAATCGTTTTAAGTGATCTTCTTCAGTTCAAATTCAAATTCTGAAGAAGATTGTTTAAAAGGTTGAAAACGTTTTTAATGTATTAAATGTTGTGCTAGAATAGAGAAAGGTGTTTGTTTATTTTATTAATTAATTCCAGTAAGCATTTATTTATTGATCCATAGACATTGTCAAGAAAGATTGCAATGGTGCCAGGTTCGATTAACATGGAACTGTTCTAATTGGGGAGGGATCAAGTGACATCATCCAATCCATCTTCATTGATGACTTCCATTTTGAACCAAATCCTGACAACCAGTAGACATTTCTTTCAATAGCCAGACCCCCCTCAGTGGTAGTCCATGGCACCCTTACAGCACAGTGATATGTTAACAACATTCTGAGACCTGTTGTAATACTGTTTCTTTTGCAGCACCCAGGGCATACTTTCTGACAAGACAATTCTCAGCCACACATGGCACACTTCTCATGTGAATGTCTTCAAGGTTGCAATATCCTTTCTTGGCCAGCCAGATCATCAGGTCTCTCTCCAATTAAGCACATTTGTTGCCTGATTGTATATCACCTACAACCATGTGCAAATGTTGACAACTTAGCCCACCAACTGAACACTGCTTGGCAAGAAATCCTTCATGATGCCATCTGTGAACTTTATGAGTCAATGCCACACCAGATGATACCTTATATTTAGGCAAGAGGTGGGCCAATGTCTTACTGACTTCCTCACTTTGTGTAGCTCTTTATATGAAATAAATTATCCAACTTTTCTAAAATTGTAATAATTTCATTTTTGTGAATATTTAATACATGTACCAAATTTTGTTCCAGTCAGATAATTCCTTCTTGGTGTGGTGATTTTTTCATCAAAGAGTATAAATCAGGTTTTAATTATTTTTCATAAAAGTATCATAATTTTTATTGATGCTTTTAAAATTATTTATGACCAACTTCAAATCTTAAAGATGAGTTAAATTCATAACGCTTAGGAATAATTTAAAAATTAAAGATCCAATAAAAATCATAAGTTTATTTTTTAAAAAATAAATTAGATATATTTATAAAAATGATTACTTAATTCAGTTAGGATAGTTCAATCATTAATGGCAGAGATGACAGTTATTATTAATACTTTATAACATCTCAAATGCTTTTCTAATAAAGAAATAATTTTATTTTCGATTTTTTCTCTATCTTTAGTTTTTCTTTGTCTCTTTTTTTATGTTTATTGTTATCTTTTTTACAAATTAAAAGTCTTAGGTTAAAAGACTGTAGTCATTTTTTTCAGTGCAATAATCTTTTGAAGCTCTGCAGATGTTTGGAAATTTGAATGCCGATTGATTAGATTTGGAAGTCTTATCTGAAAATAAATCAGATGGTCTCAAGAAACATTTAATATCAAAAGTAAAAATAATTTCTGTCAAAATACTGTTTGAGATGTTATAAC